AGTATTTAAATATATTTATTTATTCAATTCCCACAATAGTCAAGATATAACAAGTTCTAATGATTTGTGAGGTATAAAGACAACAAGAAAATATATTGCCATTAATTTTAACTATTAAATTTATAGCAAATTGCATTGGATGATTTAATCCAATACATATTTGAATAAGCATAATATGAACAATTCTGTTTAGGATAACATTCTCTTCTTAAATCATTTCATTAAGACATACTGAAAGCCAATTGTTTTTAAGGAAGAACACTACAATAGTATTTTTAAAATGCTTTCGTGTATTAATTTATAGTACTCTTTCTTTGTCACTGTTTACAAAAATTTTTTAAATGATGTACACACATTTTGAGAATTTATCAAACACTAAGCTTAAACATATAAATAACCCAATTACCCATACATTTACACCTTGCTTATTGGATACTCTTCTAGGTTGGGTTCTCTAGAGATGCGAAACCAATGGCATTATATATGTATAAATACATGTAGTGAAATTAAATTTTATTTATAGAAACATAAATGCAAATGAAAAAGTAAATGTAAACACACACATAAATAAATATAAATGATTATAACTATATCTATGAGTGTGTGTTTGTGTGTGTGTGTGTGTGTGTAGAGAGAGAGAATGAAAGATAGAGACATCAAGAAAATGGCTCATACCATTGTAGAAGCAGAAAAATCCAGGCTGAATCCCTTCACATTTCAAATATATAGGTCAGATGTTAAACTTGACACATTTCCAGACTTCCATAGCTTTAGGGACTGATGAACCTAAGATAACAACAGGCTGATGGATGAAGTGGCAAATAAATCTAAATCTAAGGTCACCAGATCAGGCTTGTGACTGGAAAGGCAAATAGGTCAGGTGAAAGGTCAGATGGCAGGCCACTGGTGGCTCCTAGGATTGGCGGACAATGTGGCAGGCAATTAGCTCAAGCCCAAGGAACCAGAGGTTGATGAGCCAGATTCAAACATTTCCACATTGACAACTTTTATAGAAAGTGCAGCACATCTCAAGGAATCTTCCTTTTAAAGATTGTAACCTGAGTAAGGGGGTTACATTTTACTGGAATCTTCTTACAACTGATTGGCTGCCCACAGTAGGTCCCACTGGGATGTTTTTTACACTGTGTTAGGTCAAAGCAGGGGGGATAATTAGGCCTTAAGCCAAACCAATCATGGCCCAGTCAAGTAAACGCAACACCTATCACAGATACCAAAGTAGTTGTATATATAAGATGTTGGGTATATCCGGGGGAAATGTTACTATTACAATGTTGATTTCAATCTTACAGAAAGCAAGAGATCCAGATTAACTGCATTATCTTTAGCAATATGAATCATATGAGATGCAACATAAATTAGTTACAGTAACTAGCCCTGGTGACAAAAATGGCCAGGTTCCTGGCTACTAACCAGCAGTTTGATAGTTTGAACCCACCAAAAGATGCCTTAGAGAAATGGCGTGGGTTCACGTAGTTTATAGAAAAACGATAGTTTTAATCTAAGTGGGTGAAACAATGGATATATGGAATATCATAAGAGTTGTAAGAGCCTCCAATAAAATGATTTTTAAAAAAGAAATAACTTATATTTTTATTTTTAAGCGTGTTTTAATTTATTTTTCTATGGAAGAGAAGTATAGACAATTTCCAAATTGTGTTATCATGACTGGTGTAGTAGGTTATGAGTTTAGCAATTGACTAACAAATCTGCAGTTCAAAACCAACAGTCAGTCTGCTGGCAAAGATTCGCCCTTCTAGCCTAGTAAACTTTGCATCCACGGAAACGAAAGGGGCAGTTCTATTCTGGCCTGGAGGGCACCCACAATTTGAAATAGATTGATGGCTGGGAGTTAGGAGAGTTTGGGTCGTATAAGGGACTGTTCCCCCGCTGACTCAAACTCTTCTCCAGGGAGTCAATGCTTACTCACAGTTACCCGCTGTGAGTGGCCAAGATTGCAACTGTTTACAGAGTAGAAAGCCCTCTTTCTCCTGGGGAGCCTCTGCTGGTTTTAAACTGCTGATCATGCAGCTTGCAGCCCAACGCAAAACCACTGCGCCACCAGAATTCCATTAATTTTATTTGACTACTTTTCAATTTCTAACATTGTCTGATGTTTCTAACAGTTCATATTCCTACCTCTGTAATGAGGCACATATCCATTTATTTTGAGCTGCTAAAATATAAGCATTCATTTAAATCTTGTATTTTAGAATTATACTTTACAGATTCGAAGTCTCGAGATGGCTCTTGATTTCCAAACATAAAAATATCAATTTTTACTAAAAGTAATCTCTTCACCAGCTTATAATTAATTATATTAAAATGTTTTAAGTAACTTTTACATCCTAGCCCCTCTTATAGGATTCTTTCCATTTTAATTTCCCAACTCAACCTTGAATTAAAAGTTGAGTGGGGCATATAAGCAAATAATCAAGCAACCAAGCAAGCAAACAAAAAAGTACATTAAAATCCAGAGTAATAAATCAATGATCCCAAATCAAAACCTAAACCCATCAGGTTGCTTCTGACGCAGCATGTCCTGACAGCACAGGGCTGAGTTACCCCAGAGGGTGTCCAAGGTTGCAAACCTTTAGAGGAATGGACTGCCCCATCTTTCCCTCGCAGGAGAGCCGGCGAGTTCAAGTGTCTCACCTTTGCATTAGGAGCCAAGTGCTTAACTCCGTGCAACCTGGGCTCCAAATCACTGAGAGGTGTATGAAACATGCTGTTGTTTTAAGAGAAACACATTCAGGCAGAAATAAAGCTCTTTAGGGCAGCATCTGCAAGGTGTGACACTGCACTTATTTTCTCCTGCTGGGCACCAGAATCTTGACACTGAAGAGTTAGACGGAGTCCACCCTGATTATAGAGGTGAGAGGGCTATTGTTTGTGTGTGTGAACATTTGTCTTTTTCCTTAGGGCTTTACAAAGTTGACAGAATGATTTGTTGGCAAGGAAGGTGAGCACACTCTGTAATGACAACTAGTTTACAACATATTATATATATTAAATATATATCCACAGACAACAAACAATAAAGGATACACAGCGGATTCTGATATCAGCCCTCTCCTTAAACAGATAGTAGCTTAACGAATGCAGCTGCACAAACAAGAGGTCCCTGTCAGCATGTTGCACATGGCTGTCTCCCTGTCTGCCTCGACATGTGCACACCAATGCTGGGATAAGGCATCCAGCGGTTTCAGGCACAGAGAAGCTGTTGAAACCCACTCTCTCTTTTAAAACACTATGAAAATATAAATAAATCTCTAAATCTAAATGAAAAGTTTAAAGAGTTCAATACTACTCCATTTTTCGTGATAATGAAGACAATGATTTTTTAACAGTTTCATTGATCAAGTGTGTTTTCCATAAATAAACTCAATGGTTTTTAATAGATTTATGGACTTGTGGAGCCTATTACCCTCAAATGTCCCTGTGTGCCCATTTTCAATCAATTCTCCTTCTACTTCCAGCCCTGGCTGATCACTGACCTATTTTATGTCTTCAGTAATTTGTTATCTCCAGATATATTATGTAGATAGAATCAGACACTATATGATCATTTGTGTTTGTAAATGTGGTTTTTGTCTTTGTTTTGAAAATATTGTCAAAAACAAATTCAAACTGAGTACCATGAGTTGATTCCAGCATGAAAGTAAGAAAACAAACAAATAAGTCAATCACGATCCAGAGAAATAAATCAAATATCTCAAATCAACACCTACCGCTATCTGATCCAGCACAACCCGGTAGGAAAGTAGAACTACCCCATAAGGACTGTCACTCCTTTCCCTCATAGAGTAGCTGGTGGGTTCAAGCATCTGACCTACCCATTACCAGCCAAGCGCTTAACCACTGTGCCACCTTAGGAGAGGGTAGGACTGCCCTGTGGTTTCAGTGACTGAAACTCTTCCTGGGAGTAGAAAGCCCAGTGGTTCAAACTGCTTGACTTGGTGCTCAGTACATCAGTGCATAACCCCATACACCACCAGGGCAGGATTGCAAAGTTAGTGCATAGAGGTTCCATGGACCTTTCTCCCTGTGTCTTTCACTGGTTACATGTTACATACCTATTCTACAACATCAAAATCAGAAATCAAGGTTGGTAGAAGGGGTCTGAATAGTTTTATACTATTTGTCTTGTTCATACATATAATTATTATGAATTGATTCATATTTTGCCTGTAATATTAAAAATGGGAACAAGGAGAAAAATACATGTCCACTCACTAGATAAATGATTTGGAATAAGATCTTTGAGACAGAAGTTATCAAATTAACATAAAATCGGTTTGTTCCAGTTGCTCTTAGAATATGATTGACAGTTTCTATTGGGTGGGATGGAGATGCAGCTTCCCCACTTGACCTCTGCTGCCAGGAAGGGGGACAGGACTACAGTTTCTTACCTGTAGCTTGGTTGGAGCATAGTAGTCTTTTCGTTACAGGCTTCCCTTTTCCTAACTATTTGCGTTAGTCTGGGTAGACTAGAGAAACAAATTCATAAACACTCATGTGTATAAGAAAGAGGTTTGTATAGAAGAGCAATTGAACATTGAGAAAACATCCCAGGCCGATCCAGATCAAGCCCATGAGTCTAATATTAGCCCATATGTCTGATACCAATCTATAAAGTCTTCTTCAGACACAAAACACATGCAATGACGCTGAATGCACAAAGCTCACAGGCCAGTGGTTTAGTAGTCTTGTGCCCAGTCAGTAGAGCATTTCCAAGGGGTGAGTCTCTCCTGCCTCCAAGGAGGAAATACAGGAATCTCCAGAATTATCACAAGAAGGCCATGCCCACACAGAGGCCTCATTGGTTATATCTTGATTGACAGTTCAGACTCCATGCCTTCACTCTTAAACATCTCAAGTCCCAAATTGACACCAGATTATGTAACTATCACACTATTTGTCCCCATTGACATTTGGGGTTGCAAGCTTTTCCAATACGCAATATGAACTATATGAAGTGTGCGTGGGTTTGGATTTGTGGCAGGTACGATCCCATGGGCCTCTCAAAGTATCCTAGGCCAAAGCAAACTCTGACCCTGAACCATTGCCTGGCTTTACCCGGTGGGCTTAAGGCACTGAAGTGGGTTGCACAGTGGGGAAAAAGAAAAAAAATATATATATATATGAATCAAAAAGAAAACTCAATAAAATGATCACTGAATTATTCCTCAAGTGCGGAGGTGTCTAGGGGGCTCCCTTTTTCATATGTTTATTTTATATGTAATATCCAAGGTTTTAGTTATACTTAACACCTGAACATCATCAGGAAAATGTGAATCTACTACATCTTGTGGTCCCTATTGTCTTTTAATTGTTTCATGAATTTTTATTTTATCTTTTGCTAGATGGCTATATAATAATGGAGTCTGAAGAAAAGATATCATATTGTTCATTCATTTTGATATTATAAATAAATCATAAAACATTTTGATAGTGCTGTGTGCCAGTATTCAGCTAATACACGATCTCTATCTGGCTAACTTAACATCGAGTTTGCCCTCATTTCTCAGTTTCCCCTATTACTGGGGTGTATTAGTCTGGGTACTTTGGAGAAACAAATCCACAGCAACTCACGTATAAGAGAGAGTTTTATGCAAAGAAAAATGTGCATCATGAAAACATCCCAACCCAATGCTGCCCAAGCCCACAAGTCCAACATTAACCCATACCCAACACCAGTCCACAAAGTCCTTCACCTCACAAAACAGAGGCAATAATGCCGACTGCAGGAGGAAAGCTGAGTCCGTGAACGTGTAAGCATCTCAGCACTGGCAGGGGTCTCCACACGGCTGCTCCAGCACCCAGGGCTGCATCGGGATAGGTCCATGTAGCTTCTCCTTGGGGATGTCTTGTAGGAAGTCAATCTTGCAAGCTGAAGCAGGGAACTGCTAAGGCAGCTGCACCCGATACAACCATCACAAAACAAGAGACCCGAGAACTAGAAAGGCGAGGCTTCACCACCCATTTATCCCTCCGCCTTTCAACCAGCACCACATGTGATTATCGGCCAGGCTGGCGCAATTAACTAACTCATGGGGCTTCATATTTGTCATGCATGATCCTACCAAAGACATGGAGACTGCATTGTTTCATTGTTGCAAACTCCTTTACGCTCTTCAAAGAAACTGGTGGAAATGTCATGTTTACTTGTGTACATATCTCTGACGTAAACTTTTTTTCCTTCAATCATTTTGTTGTCACTTTGGCCCTTGAACTATTTCTTCAGTATCTTCAGACTGATTCATGCTGTATAAATTCTTACCTTTTGTTTTTCTAACTAGAAGGGTTGACACGTTCCTTTATACTGTTTGCTGTATCTTTTAAAGCTGCTCTTTCAATTTTCAGTTCAGCTCTCTTACTTCTTCATTTCTTCCGATTGCTTTAACTGCTCTACGATCCAAAGCAATTCTAATGTTTATGCATTCCATAACATTTTTTTCATATCATTTTTCCCACTTCCAATTTTCCTAGATTCATACTCCATACATTTCAATTTATGACTTCTAGAGAATGTTTCTTCTCTTTATTGAATTGTACCCCATTAGCAAATGAAGGTCCGACAGCTTTATTCTATCCATTCATTGTGGTCAACTGTACTTTGAGAAAGCAACTCTTGCTTTATAATTTGAGTGCCTTCCAAAGTGAGGGGCCCATTTTCCGGTACTTTATCTGTCAGTGTTCTGCTGCCATTCATAAGGGTTTGGTGGTTAATCTCTCAGACAGGACCAGCCTCTTCCTTCTGTGTAGTCTGTTCTTAGTCTGAAAGCTCCACTGAAACCTGTTCACCTTGGGTGACCCTGCTGACATTTGAAATACCGGCGCCATATCTTCCAGCATCACAACTCACAAGCCACCACAATACGAGCAACTGATAAATGGTGAGGAGAAATTGGTGGACTCTTCAGTTTTTCATTGCTAACTTCAGTGGTTGAAGACCACCATAGAACCAGCTGAACTGGAATTATCCCATCCTTCTTCTTTCCTATTTTGTACATAATATTTTCAATTGGATCTTTCTGAAATCTTTTCATTTGCTGGTCTTACGTCATATCTTTTAAACAAAACAAAACAAAACTTCTTGTAAGCCTTATTCCCTGAAGAGATTCGACTTTCCTGATGCCAGGTTCTGTATTCACCTACTTTCACCAAAAAACTCAACACAAGGAACAATAACCTTGATATTATAACTTGAATCTCTGAATTCTTTATGCACAAGGACACTAATAAATATGAAAGTTTTGGTCTAAGATACTGTTCCTGTAATAACGAGCATATTTGATTTTTCCACACCCTTTTTCCTCCTAATTTGTCTTATATGAAATACCTTGAAATTTTAGACTGTTGATGTTAGTTATATTATAACTACACTATGAGTTTTGTAGAGCTGACTTTAAAAGAACCATTAGAGCTTAACTAATTTATACATTTTAGACAATCCAATTAATAATCTGGCTAATTACTGGGCTATTAAATTAAAATGTTGAAGTTTGTAAGACACATTTTTTCCTACAAATAAAATTGTACCATTAAGTTGAGCAACTGCAACTTCATATTCTAGAAAAGGAACTCCCAGACATCAGCTAGTGGTTCATGCTACTCTAATAGGGATGTACTCATATTTAACTATTTTAATTAGGAGAGTATTGTTCAGATTTTAGAAAACTCAAATTAACCTGTTTTCATTCTTTCATCATATAACCATACCAAATAAGGAACTGCCTTTCCAATTTCATTTATTATCATACTACACTGCTTAAATATACTGTCATCCAGTCGATTCTGACTGATGATGACCTTATAGGACAGGATAGAACTGCCTCTATGGGTTTCAGGAAATGTAAATCCTTATCGGAGTAGAAAGTCTTATTTCTCTCCCCTGGAGTCATTCAGTGGAGTCATTCATTTCAAACTGTGGAGCAGGTTACACATTGGGCTGCTAACCAAAAGGTAAGTAGTTCAGAACCACCACCTGCTCCTGGAGAGAAAGAGGAGGTTTCCTACTCTCATAAAGATGTACAGTCTCAGAACCCCATAGGGGAAAATCTATTCTGACCTATAGGTCACTATGAATTAATATTTAGTCAGTGATAATGTTTGTTTTACTATCATAAAATATGAAAAGATTGTTCAACAATATATTACTGATATTCCATCAAAATTTTGACTAGATACTATATGAAATCAATTATATTAAAAGTAAATATGTGTTACCTATAACTTGAACAAAAGGGGAGAAGGCTATCTACCAGCTATGAAACATACATCACTTCCCTTTTGCTCCTTCCACAAGAGCCAGCTCGAAGGAGGTGGCCTCGCATTGCCTGTGGTCACTCCATTAAGAGGAGGGCCATAGGAGATGACCACTCGCTGGAGATCATACAACATCAAGATAAGGCTAGGACAAATCAAGGAGGCCCCAAGTAGGAATGGAAGGAGATCCTTGCTTGAAAACCAAGTTCAGTTGGTGAGTATGTTGGGTGATGGGGGGAGAAGTGACCTTATATCTGGAAGGGGTGCTAGACTATGATTGTCGAGAACCTCGGGTGACAATGGACCCAATTTTATGTTCCTGGTTAGACTCTACGAATATATTTCTACCCAACCCTTGGTGAAGCATGCCATGGATTAAATAGCATGATACCTTGGATGCTGACCGTGCAGGCATAATAGCATAACAGAGGGGCTACATCAGAAGGACTTAACATAGTGGTCTAGTTGAATGAATTTGTTAGGTAGCCAGAACAGGGACTAAGGGAATTGGGTCCCCAGATGCCTGCATAGGGCCACAACAAAGGGGCTCCAGAGAAATCAGGCGCCCATTAAGACACATATAGAAAGATCCAAACTGAACATGCTCAGGCACGAGCCCCACCCTAGTCCCAGGTGGGAGGTCCACCTGAGTGAGCAGCTAGGCCCAGCTCCATGACATCACGCAGGTGGTCTTAAACTAGGCCATTGAGGTCAGCCAACATCTTTAACCACACATCCCAGCCTGAGGAGATAAAAGCAGCCAAGGGCAGGCCTCAGACTTCTCTTTTTAAAATTTTTTAATCATTTTATTAGGGGCTCACAATCCATACATACATCAATTCTGTAAAGCACATTTGTACATTCATTGCCCTCATCATTCTCAAAACATTTCCTCTCCACGTAAGCCCCTGGCATCAGCTCCTCATTTTTCCCCATCCCGCCCCGCTACCCCCTGGCCCCTCTGTCATGAACCCTTGATAATTTATAAATTATTATTTTGTCATATCTTACATTGTCCGACATCTCCATTCACCCACTTTTCTGTTGTCCATCCCCCCCAGGAGGAGGTTATATGTAGATCCTTGTAATCAGTTTCCCCTTTCCACCCCACCCTCCCGGTATCACCACTCTCACCACTGGTCCTGAAGGGATTATCCACCCTGGATTCCCTGTGTTTCCAGTCCCTATCTGTGCCAGTGTACATCCTGTGGTCTAACCAGATTTGTAAGGTAGAATTGGGATCATGACAGTGGGGGGCTGGGGGAAGCGGGGGGTGGGGGGAGAAAGCAGTTAGGAACTAGAGGGAAGTTGTATGTTTTACTCCTGTTTTGGACTCCTCTTTTGTTCTGCTGGGCTCCTGCAGGTCAGAAGGGAGCACACACATGATTCCTAGGTCCCAGGGCAAGAGCTCTCTCTCTCTCAGGGCCCTCTTTTGGGATGGCAGGCTCTTGGCCCCTGGGATTTCCTGTGAATTCCTGAACCTTCCCTTTCCTCATCATAGTCACTTGGATTTACAAGAGTGCTTCTACTGTGTAAATTCTTTCAGCACTGAATAGCAAGAACCAAGTTATACCACACCAGAAACCTAGCAAATTGAGGGCTGCCCTGAAAGCCCTGCCCTGAAGTTTCCTGCACCCTTGGCCTGAGGACTGAGGTATTCAGATTGGAAAGGAAAGAGGGTGACCTCCCAGGGACTGTGGAAGTGTCAGTCATTGGACATTGAGGGGAACCCCCAATGGAAAGGAATCCAGCATCACCATATACTTCATACCTCGATGGCCCCTTCTTAGTGAAATGACAGGTTCTGATCTGTTGGGTAGGGATCTGCACATGGAAGAACCCATC